GAGTAGCCCCACATTCCAGGACCTCCATTGCCACCCACTTCATCACCTCGTCACCTCGTCACCTCGTCCATGCTAATGCATGCAATTTGCGCAGCTCTCCAAGCTGAGTGTCCTGGAACCGATGGCCATTTGGCCTTTTTCGGACGGCTTCGTCTCAGCTATGAATACAAAATAACAGAGCTCTCTTCTAGGTTATTATAAGTGTTTCTAGGAACATCTAGATTTCGAAATTAAATGTTCAAATAAACACATTAGTCAGGCCAAACAATAAATTCATACATACGACACTTCCTGGGCAGTTGATAGCTTAGTTATTTTATTCAGCTATCTCCTCGGGTGAGTTTATCGGCAGCACTGCTGTGGAGTGGTCCTGGATCAGGATATGTTGCTCGGCAAATTAAAAATGCCATCGGCACGGAGAGCAGCATGCAAATGCATGTCCATGTCATAGAGTTACACAAAGTGCTTAATCAAGCTTAAAAGAAAAGGACTCGAAAGGGAAACATACATGGCCAGAGTAACAAGGAGTAAAAAGGAGGGGCAGCCTAGCCGAGCCATGGAAGCTCGCAAGGATCAGGATTTGGATGCGATGCTGGTGGTGGTGGTGCTGTGGCACTCTCATTGACTGTGCAAAGTGAAGTGGAGTAGTTTAAAATTAAAAAGGACACTTAATCCCGTCAATGTCTTGCCGCCGCGCCAGCCACCCCCATCCAGATCGAAAACCTGGTGTGTGCATGTGGATCCTGGGAACCAGGGATCCAGGCAAATTCCAGCACGGGATTAGCAGGCGGTTGGGGATTGAACAGGAGGGTGTTTTCGTTTGATTTGGATTGTGCAGGGGCATCACCATCAGGGATATAGATGGTGGGTGGTGGGTGGTGGCTGATGGCGCCAATGGTGACGTTGGATGTTTGCCCACTTTGGCTCACAAGAAGTGCAATTATGTGCACAAAATGGAAAATGAAGCAAGAAAGTGGAGCAATTGAAAGCGACAGATGGAGAGATGCACATGCAGTCGTTGAGAGACAATGCTGATGACTGGCCAAAGACAAAAACAATTTAACCCACATTTGCATGGAATATGGAATGCATGGTATATGGCAATTACCAGCGTTATGACGTGGAAATTGGCCAGGCAACGGTAGATAGGAATCGTCCTGGGCAACTGGCAAGCCCACCCACCCACACCTGAAATGCAGCCCATCTTATCTGTGTACCTAATTAGTGAAATGTGCTTGCCTTGGTATATTGAATAATTAGGTAAGTGAGTAGTAGGCAGTGATGGGTAAGGTACACATTTAGCTGAACCCGTCTGGGTTAGACTCCATATTGCAAGTTACAGCCATTTTCCCATTAGTTATTGCCGGACGAGGTATTCTCGATAATTCATATTGCTAGTAGTGCCATTTTCCCATTTTAAACATTTCAATATGAAACTACAATTGCCTCCTGGTAGTTTGAATGCCATTGGGTACCCACAGGTACAGCGCATCCATCACAGGACGTGGCTCACGCGCCAATATGGTCTGCAGTTGGACTTTAGAGCTCATCCAACATGGTGTCCAAGCAGAGTCGACTGCTGGCCACCGCCTTTCCATATCTCGACATCTTTTCCGTGTTTGCCCTCACGCCGCCGCCCCAAAGTTTTGGCCACACTCCACATAGACGACTCCGAAGGTACTTGATGACTGGCTATGTGTGCTATGCGGCCGCGATCCTTGTGATGGTCTTCCTTGTGACCTATGTAAACATAATCGCCATTGACGAGGAGGTCCTGGAGTACAATGTGGCTGACTTCACCAGAGTGATGGGCAACATTCAAAAGAGCCTGTACTCGGTTATGGCCATCGCCAATCAGCTCAATATGCTGTTTAATTATCGCCGGCTTGGCAATATCTACAAGGACATTTCCAATTTGGAGATGGACATGGACGAGGCGGCGCAGTGTTTTGGTGGACAAGAACAACGCCATAGCTTCCGCTTTCGCATGGCCCTGTGTGTGGGCATTTGGATGATCCTGGTGGTGGGTTCCATGCCTCGTTTAACACTAGCGGCCATGGGTCCTTTTGTCAGCTGGCTGTTCAAGATTCTCACCGAGTTCGTCATGATAATGCAGCAGCTCAAGAGTCTCGAGTATTGCGTGTTTGTGCTCCTCATCCACGAATTGGTCCTGCGGTTGCGCCACACACTGACTCAGCTGCAGCAGGAGTTCCAGGACTGCGAGCAGCAGGACATGTTGCAAGCTCTGTGCGTGGCTCTAAAGCGCAATCAGTTGCTATTGGGGCGGATTTGGAGGCTGGAGGGCGACGTAGGCAGCTACTTTACTCCGCCCATGGTGCTGCTGTTCCTCTACAACGGACTGACCATCCTGCACATGGTCAACTGGGTGTACATCAACAAGTTCCTCTACGATTCCTGCTGTCACTATGGTGGGAAAGCAGTCTCATATCTTGGGAAATCCGCAATCCTTATGCTGCATATTTTTCAGAACGTTTTCTTGTCTGCTGTACGCTGATAATTAACCTTCTACTGCCCTGCCTTCTATGTCACCGTTGCATTAATGCGGTAGGTCTGCTTACATAATTATATATTCAGTTTCTTAGCATTTAAATCTGTCTAGTATAACTGCTTTCCACGAATCCTGCATCAGATTCGCTGCACATCCGCAGAGTCCAACTTTCCCATGTTGGCCAGAGGTTTGCAGGAATACTCCTTGCAAATGGAACACCTGAAGTTGCGCTTCACATGCGGCGGCTTGTTTGACATCAACTTGAAATACTTTGGGGGGGTAAGCTTCAGCTTATCTGATAGCTATAATAATTCGCTGACTAAGATTTGTTTGCAGTTGCTCGTCACCATTTTTGGTTATGTCATAATCCTCTTACAATTCAAAGTCCAGGCAATTGCCGAGGATAGATACAAATCAAGTAGCAGCGGCTAGCGGATTAGGACTCATTTAAAGGAGTAGTTAAGTAATTAATGTAAATGTCATATTCCTCTTTAATCGGAAGAAAACAGAGGAAAGAAACTTACAAATGCGCACTGATCATCTTTTAGTGTTTAATTGCAGCCATGAATATTTAAGAAATCTACTTTGTAGATGGTGACTATATTTTTGACTACATAAAAAATATACTTCAAAATTCAAGTTCTTGTGAAACAATATATTTTGAAAGCAATAGCATTACTAAAATGACAGATTGAACGTGCAATTCCATTAGAAGCCCATATCTAAACGTATCACTTTGGTAAAATAACGTAACTTCCTTGGTCTACAAATATAATTAAATGTTTAATGGCTAGAACAGCCAGCTGATTATCTTGGCCAACTAACTAATAGAAGCAGTGACAGCACCATTTCACCAGTGGCTTTTTACAACTCGTGGGCGATGGAAGCCAAGCGGAGTCGCCTGCTGACCACAGCTCGTCCTTATCTGCAAGTCCTGTCCATATTTGGTCTCACACCCCCAGCAGAATTCTTTACCAGGACGCTTCACAAGCGACGCAGGATCTTTTGGATTGCAGGATACAGTATCTACTTAATTGCAATTCTTCTGATAGTGTTCTATGAATGCTATGCGAATATGGTGGCCCTACAGCGAGGAATTCATCATTACCAAGTGGAGGACTTCAGCAAAGTTATGGGAAGCACGCAAAAGATTCTTATAGTAGCTATGGCAACTTGCAATCAACTAAACATACTTCTAAACTGTGGGCGCCTGGAACTGCTCTATAACGAAATACTGGATCTGGATCTAAGGATAGATAGTGCCTCAAAGGGTTTTTGTGGACAGCGGCACTGGTGGAGCTTCCGGCTCCGATTGGCGCTTTCCGTTGGCCTGTGGATGGTGGTCGTCATAGGTGTTATACCACGACTAACTCTTGGACGCACTGGACCCCGCCTTCATTGGGCAAACCAAGTACTCACCCAGGTCATTCTCATAATGCTCCAACTCAAAGGTCCTGAGTACTGTCTATTCGTTCTACTGGTATATGAGCTGATTTTAAGATCACGCCTTGTCCTTGAGCAGCTAAAGGCTGACCTCGAGGATTTCGACTGCGGAGCCAGGATTCAGGAGTTGTGTGTCACTTTGAAGCGGAACCAGCTGCTCATGGGAAGAATCTGGAGTTTGGTGGCTGAGATTGGAACGTATTTCAGACTGTCCATGACGCTGCTGTTCCTCTACAACGGACTGACCATTCTGCACATAGTCAACTGGGCTATCATAAGATCTATCGACCCAAACGATTGTTGTCAATTCCGTGAGGAGCCTTCTGAAAAACATCAAGGAATGTCATTTTATCTATGCTTATTTTAGATCGACTAGGGTCTATTACTATTCTGTCGATCAATCTTCTGCTGGCCTGCTTTTATAGTGAGTGTTGCGTAAAAACTGTAAGTGAGCCTTTCCAAAAAACCGAGTTTTACTTTAGATCTATCACCACTTTCAGTACAATAGCATATCGCAATTTCTTCATCAAATAGGCTGTTTGCCTGCAGCTGAAGAATTTCAAATGCTTAAAATGGGGCTAAAGGAATACATTCTGCAAATGCAGCACTTGAAGCTCCTATTCACGTGTGGAGGCTTATTTGACATCAATCTCAAGTTGTTTGGAGGGGTATAACGTGCCATACTTGATTACACTTAACGCTTTCTGGCTCATTTTCAGATGCTGGTTACCATATGTGGCTATATTATTATTTTAGTTCAATTCAAAATTCAGGATTTTGCTCAGATAAGTGACAGACAAAATACTAGCGACACGTCACAGTAAGATAAAATCGGTAGTTTATACATCCAATGTTAAGTTGCAAGGACAATCCTATAATACAATTTTGAATTGCTACATATCAAGCACTAACTGCTCGTAATTATTCTACCAGCCACCATTTGATCAAAAACTCAGATGACCCTATCAAATTAATTAAAATGAAAGTGCACAGCTATTTAGCAGCAGACTTACTACTGTTCCCAGTGCCTTTTAACTTCTCGCTGGACATGGAAGCCAATCGGAGTCGTCTGCTGACCGCAGCACGTCCTTATCTTCAGATTTTTTCCATATTCGGACTCACGCCGCCAACGCAATTTTTCACCAGGACCTTACATAGGCGACGTAGAGGTATTCTAATATTGGGCTATGGCTGCTTTTTAATTGCCATTTCTGTGATGGTCATCTACGAGTGCCACGCGAACATTGTGGCGCTGCATAAGGATATATATCGGTTTCACGCCGAGGACTTTAGCAAGGTTATGGGAAACACGCACAAGGTCCTGGTGGTAGCCATGTTCGTTTGGAATCAACTGAACATTCTGCTGAGCTTTCGGCGCCTTGCAAAGATCTATGTTGATGTTGCGGATCTGGAGATGGAGTTAAGTAACGCCTCTAGGGGTTTCATTGGCCAAGGGCAGTGGTGGAGCTTCCGATTCCGGTTGGCCATTTCCGTGGGACTGTGGATAGTGCTGCTGGTGGGTCTTACGCCGCGATTCACCCTCGTGCCACTCGGACCCTTCCTGCACTGGGCAAATAAGGTGCTCACCGAAATCGTTCTGATAATGATACAACTGAAGTGTACGGAGTATTGCGTGTTTGTGCAATTGATTTATGAACTGATACTCCGTGGGCGCCACATCCTGCAGCAGATCGGTGTGGAACTTGAGGGTAACCACTCAAGGGACAGTGTTCAGGAGCTGTGTGTGGCCCTAAAACGCAATCAGCTGCTATCTGGACGCATTTGGGGTTTAGTGAATGAGGTCAGCTTGTATTTTAGCCTATCCTTGACGCTTCTGTTTCTCTGCAATGGACTGACCATTCTGCACATTGTCAACTGGGCTCTCATCAAATCCATCAATCCAATCGATTGCTGTCAATATAGTAAGTGGGTTCTCAAGACCAAAAGGAAGTTTACCTATAAGTTATTTTCATGCATAGTGCGCTTCGGGACTTGCCTTTTGCTGTCGTTCAATATTTTTCTAGCCTGTTTATACAGCGAGTTCTGCATTCGAACAGTACGTATGCCTAACCCTTTAGCAAGTTTTTAATGGTTGTATTTTTTAAGTATAATAGCATTCCACGAGTTCTTCACCAAATGTATTGCCTTCCAGCAGCCGAAGATTTCCCAATGCTAAAAATGGGACTGAGGGAATACTCCCTGCAAATGGAGCATTTAAAGCTTATTTTCACATGCGGCGGCCTCTTTGACATCAATCTTAAGTTCTTCGGAGGGGTAAAAAAGGAATTGTGAAATAATTAGCAGGCTAATGCACACTAACCTTTCTTCTAGGTGGTAGTCACGATATTTGGTTACATCATTATTCTCGTGCAGTTCAAAATTCAAACTTTTGCTCAATCAAAAGTTTGGCAAAATATAAACATGAGCGAAATTAAAGCATATGCCGCGTAAATCAATAGAAACAAATTAAATACATTTTACATTTATTCTACACTCAGCAACAGCGACACCTGGCGACGAAAGAAATCTAAAATATTTGAAATTACACCGATTAAATGAAATTTAAACAATATTAACAGATTAATACTTGAAAATAATAATAAATATTCTGTCACACGATAAAAATTGATTTTACAATATGATGTCAAAAGAATAAAACATGCGTTGTAGAGGTAAGGTAGAATATATAAATGTACATGTGATACAGTGGTGGGCTCTACATTAGTTCACGGCTAATTTATTTATTATGAAGAAGAACAAACATTTAGTTTTATGTATATATTTACGTATTTATTTTTTTTAAGACAGCAGCCACTCTGTTGTCAAATCGGAATTGGCCTGCCCCGGAGGGACTTCCATTTGAGTGGGCGGAACCATCAGGTTTTGCTACATCTAGGCTATTATTGTTTCAATTATCGCCATCGATCCGCCGATCGATCAGTTTCACCATTCAATATCAACTAGCATATTGCTATAAATAAACTTAGTCTATGCTTTTTACATTGAACATTTCATGTTGTTACATTTTCGGGAATTGTACTCATAATTAGTTTAGTATAATTGCGACGCATCGACTTAGATCTACAACTTAATAGCTAGTGAACCTAATACCTACTGCTAAATATCTGCCCACCTAAACCCATCAGTGTTCTATTTGTACAAGTAGCTTAAGCCTAAGAGATATTAGACTACGGAGTTGTCAGTTGGATTACTATTACTCGCTCGTGAAATGTTCAGTTACGCTCATTTGCTTGGATTCTGATCTATAACTTCAGTTGGCAATCACAGACTAAATAACTGGAATAACTTTTTGGAAGTCGTACACCTATGCGTATAATTAGCTAGTAAAGGGAAATAATTAACTAATTAAAACTGGCCGCAAACACCAACAAACCATCTAAACAAACCTTCAACTCGATACTAATAGATAGAATATATATTTGCACTTGGTGTAGTACAAATCAGAGATTGCAACGTCGCCACTGGCAGTTACATTTACAGTGATTTCAATATAAAGCTCCGATTCAGTTGATAACAATGGGTATAAAAAATGTCGCACATATGCTCGAGTGTTAGGAAGGACACTGTTGGTCTTACATAGCTACGGGGCTTACAACTAATTAATCTACACAGTAGTTTCGGCTAGCTAATCAAAACAGGTCCATGTTGTCGTTCATATAGCTTAACAGGTAGTACAAGTAAATAAAAAGACACACTGTAGGCAGGAGATAATTCAGCAGTAGGTTAACTATTATCCCGTCCCGTGCTTGCCGTTCTCGAACAGGCCCTTCTTGAAAAAAGACGACAGCTGGACGAGGGAGGCGCGTGTGAGGCCCGTTCCGCCGGGTCCCTCGTAGATTGGGCACTGCGGAATCTTCGAGCACACGACGAATAGGCGTCGTAAGTAGAGCTCTAGAAGGCGGCGACGATGCTTCGCCACCGGTTCGCTGTTCGAGGCGAAGAGCTCTCTCCGCGGAAAGGGTAGTGCCGATATCTAATTGAAAATGTCTTAATGTATTGAAGGGGAAATCTTCTCAGTCAGCATACACTTACCTTGGCACCGTAGCAGTGTTTCATGCACAGGTGCAGTTCCCTGAAGCGACTGTATCGACGCAGAATGTTTAACTTGCCATCGGGTAGAGCGATGCGAACCTCGTATTCGTAGTGCGTTTGCTTGCCGGCGCCCCGCATCACAAAACTCGGAATGGTAATAAAGTGTTCGCCTTCAGCTAAACAAATACAATATATAATTGATATACAACCCACAAATCATAACCAAATACGTACGAAACTCGCGCATAGATGGGCAGGATCTTGTCATGCTGGGTGAATATATCTGCGAAGTGGACTCCTCCATGCTGGTGGGACTCATCACACTCGAACGCATAATAGAGCTGGCTAGTTCATACTGCCGTTCCATGCCGGAGCGCTCGTCAGCACAACACTGGGCATGCGCCTCCAAGTCCTGCACCGATTGCAGCATTTCCTGCTCCATTTGTATATAGCGTCGCTGCAGATCCTGCAGATCGGCAATGTGCTCATCCAACTGGGCCTTGTTCAAGTCTGTTTCTAGGTTCTTCATGATCAGTGCCTTCTGGGCAGCAATCTTGCGTCGCAGCGAGTGCAGTGGGCAATACGGACGAGCAGAATCAGAGTGCCGTCCCAGCTCGCAGGAGGAGCAGGAACCGGTGTCTTCGTCGCTGGTGCGCACTCCCTGCTTGTAGTTGTTAAGGTGACCATTCTGCAGGATAGCCTGATTACGACTGTCCAGGCACACACCGCTATCACTCATGATGGCCTGCGAACTGGGTGTGCAGCTGGGCGCGGATCCCGAACCCCCAATGCCTACACTCCCACTTCCACTGCCACTGCTGGGACCAGCGGTACAGGTTCGTGAAGTCTCCTCGCTACTGCCGGAGAGGTCATCTTTCCGCGTGTCCTCGGCCTCATCCTCCGCATCGCAGGAACAATTGCTGAGCGGCGACTGTTGGCCTTCCGTAATTGTGGGCGATGAAACGAGCGATAAGTTGGACTGCGCGGTGTGGAAGGTATCACAGGTTTCGTACGTATCTGACTTGGATACATCGTCAGCCTCGTTGGTGCTCGTAGAGGTGGACATCGACTTGTTGCCCAACTGCAGTTTCATATTCTGCTTCCTAGCGCGCATCGCCTGGGACTCAGCCTCGCTTTCGGCGCGTTCCAGACGCAAGCGTTCCAGCTGGGCCTGGATCTCCAGCATGGTCTCATCGACCTTAGCTATTTTCGTAGTGCTGGCATTGAGTATTCTTTCCTTTTCGGCTATTTGTTCGTCCAGTTTCCGGATTTCCTCATTCTTAAATCGTTTAAACAAAAATGTAAACGTCTTTTCCTGATAATCAATATATGGATACTTACATTTCTCCGCACAGTGTCCTTTATAAACTGCGCTGCAAACAAATCCAGGGAATCCGATACCTGCAACAGCAGTTCATCATTCAGAGGAGTGCCCTCTTCGATCTTCATTCCCATCTGTAAATACACAAATATGATTGTTAGTCATGGTAATAGATTTATGTCTAATTAATGGTATCTAAAATGTAATCTAATCTAAGCAAAGAAATTCTAAACAAACAAACAAACCTCGTCCAGTTTGCCACAATCTTGCAGTTCCTGCAATTCTTTCGCTACATACTCAGAGAAATCTCGTTTCTTAGAGTCGAGCTGCGTCTGAAACGCTGAAATTTGTCTACACACAATGTCGATCTAAAACGAAAATGGAACGAACAGAAAATCGTAAGGAACATAAAACCAAAACAAGAAAAAGAATGAATATGAACAGGCAATAAACAAGCACAATAATCAGTCCATCCATTTCAGAAACAATTAATGAAGACATGCAATCAAACGGATGGGATCAGAATGGCGCACCTGAACTTTCTCATTGTTCTTTTCCCACAACAGCATGTCCTTGCGGGCGACCAGCTCCTGTTCACGGCAGTTAAGCAACTGCAAGCTGTCCATTTCCTCCTGTTCCAGGCGAATGAGTTCTTCGGTCAGCTTGCGCACTTTGGTCTTGTACTGGTCGTGCATCTGGACGCGTTCCTAAACAAGAAAAATATAACATTTTACATTTTATATTAATACATCTATTACTATAATCACTTACCACATTGAGCTGCTTGAGGGCATTCTCAATGGTGTCTAGAATCTTTCTATTCTCGTCCTGCAGCTCCGGATCGTCGCGCGACATGGGCCTTTGAGGATAATACTGTCGCTCTGGACGTTTGTAAGGCGATGCTCCATCTTCATCCGAGTATATGCTGCAGGTAAGCAAGTTCTCCTTGGAGGAGGTGATCAGGGAAAGCCGGGACATGTCCAGCTGCGACCGACTCAAATCCTTTCGCAGTTTTGCAGCTTCGGCGGGATTGTTAAAACGGAAGATGTTGGTTCGGCCCAGCAATATAATATCGCCCTGCGAGATTTGCTTGGGTTCGTCAATAAGGTGGGCGTTCACCCAACACTGGGCCAAGGGCCAGGGATGCAGCGTAACCACGCCACCCTTTAAGAAAATGCTGCAGTGCTGCGCACGAATGCCATCGCCGGCCAACTCGATGTCCTGATCTACCTCCGCATCCTCGCTGCCAATTCGCGTCTCGCCCTCCTTCAGACTGTATAGGGTCACTCCGGTGGTCACGTCGTTGTGGATGCCAATTAGATGCGGCATCTCTGAGTCGAGAACCACGCCCACACCCGACTTGCGCAGACCCAGGCTCCTTTGCTCCTGCAAAATGGACTGGGCCACCTTCCATTTCTCCGTCCATTCCTCGGTGAGTACTTTCTCTTGGGCCTCCTTCTTCTGCAGATCGGCCAATACTTTAAGCGATGGCTGCAGAGAGTGCTGATGGACAAAAATCAATATGTAATTGCACGTTAGAAAAACGCCATTTGATAGATTCTTACAATATCGCCCGCCAGCATGGACTTGAGCTTGTTGATCTCCTCCCTGAGCTCTCGGATCAGCTTGACATTGGTGTCCTCGTTCACCGTCGGCTTGTTGATGATGTTCTTGGCCCGATTAGCGTACCGCAGCGTGCTAAGTGTTTCACTGTAGTTGCAATCGGCCGGTGAAAGAGCGGCAATCATAATGGTCTTGCTGTTGCCGCCCAAACTGTCCTTGAGCAGCCACGTGAGGATGGAGTCGCGATAGGGAATGTAGAGCACCCGCTTGCTCGCCCCATTCGGTGTGGTGGCAAGTGCGGAACTGCTGCTGTTGTGCCCGCCACCCGTCTGCTCCGCCAAAGCCGAGATCACGCTACCCAGAGTCACGAGCGATTTGTTGATGTGGGCGCCCTCCTTCAGCCGCTGACCCGTTGCCCCCGTTGCATTGGCGCGCTCACTGCAAAGAATAATCAGAGGGGGTATATAATAAATGTAAATGACAGTACTGCACTGAATGGGTGTACAGATATTCA